AACTTTCTCTAATCATAATATATATATATATATATATATATATGCGCGCGCGCGAACTAATTAAATCGTAATTTAAAATTATTTAGTATTATTAACTAATTAAAATATTAACAAGAAAAATGAAAACCCCTTAATAAAGGAATTGATTGTAGTATAAATAAAAGAGATCCCTATCGTTCCTTGGAGCACAAGGAGAGTTTTTTTGTTTCTTTTCCGTCTTCATCGAGTTTTTCTTTTCCCAATGTGTAGACACCATTTTTTCAGATATAAAAAATATTATCAATTATTATTATTATTATCATTATTGTTGTTGTTATTTACATGTCTTACATTGTTTTTTTGTAGGCTCAATACTGGGACCCAAACAACAACAAAAATCAGCAACCCAGTTACAACTAACCCAAATCCTGGTTTTGGCCCAAGACCCAAAGACCTAAACCTACCCAGATTCAACAAATTACAAGCTAATCCGAACTAGCCCAGGATTCGACCCAGTTCAACTGACCCGACTTGATTCATAGGGTTTCATTGTAACCATAGGTAGTTTCTGCCACCGGTCTGTTGTTGCTGCCAGCACCGATCGCCTCTGAAGCTGCTGCTTTCATCTACAGTGAACAAATCAATCAAAATCCCAATAAAATGAAATGAAATCCAAATCAAATCCCAAGGAGAAGTCACATACCATAAGATAAAAGAATGGGGAAGCATTAAAAAGGGGGGAATGAACACACAAGTAAAAAATGAGAAAAATCGAGGGGAAAGAGAGATTCGAACAGAACAATAAAAAAAGAGGGGAAAAACCCAACAATACGAGCCTATTCGAACCCAAAAGGAAAGAAGCAAAAAAAAAAGAGAGAATGAAAGAATCATACCTCGGTTCAGAGATCTGGAAGCCCGACGGTCGTCGTTCTTCAAAACATTCGCAGGGTATATTTTATATCTAAGTTCCTAGGGTCGATTTTAGGCAATAATGGACTAAGATTTGGGTTGAGAAAGAAAGGGGAAGCTTTTGGGGTGCTTGGGTCTCTCCGGCCCGTCGTGTGCCACCGTGAGCACCGTCGTGAGTGCCGCCGATAGTGGTGACCCTTTCTTCCCCGATAAGGGGAAGTTGAGAGAGTCTCTTTTCTCTCTTTTCTCTCGGTTTGGAAGGAAGCAAATGAGGGATTTAGGTGATTTTTGGCATTGAGTTAACCTTATATATCACACATAGAACGACATCTTTCTGGCATGGGATTTAGTTTTTTTTGGGTTTGGGGTTAATTACTGTTATGGTCCTTGTTGTTTTGAAATATCTCTCATGTGTCTGATTTGTCGAGGGATAGTTGCAGTATAGGTCCTTGCTCATGTGTAATATCTTGTTTTAGCCATTTATACACAGCACGAAATGGTGCCGTTCTAAACCACCAAACCCATATTTTTCAGCTTTTAAGGGATAATAGCACCCTAGGTCCCTCACTATTATAATTTGTTTATTTCGATCATGAAATAAAATGGGTTATTATCATGTTCGATCCTTTTTATTTTGCATACGTTTATTTTAGCCACTTTATTGTTATAATATTATTTGTTTTGGTTTATTTACATGTTCAGTCCTCACTCAAGATTATTGATCTCATTTGGTCTTATTATTTTACGCGTGTTTATTTTGGTCACTGTAAACTATGATTCTCATTTGGTCTATTATTTTACGCGTGTTTATTTTGGTCACTGTAAACTATGTATTTTTTATTATTTCGATTTTCAGCATGTAATTTTGTATTTTGTCCTAAATATATGGGTTTATTACATTTTCATGTTTGTAATGTGTTGTTTTTACAGTATGTGTTGTAATATTTATTTTATTTGTTTTTAGGCATTAACTTTTCGGTCTTATTATTTAATCCATTTGCATGTTATCTTATTTTCAGTTTGTAATATGTTGTTTTTACTGTAAATATTTATTTCGCATGATTCCAATGTTCATGTTATATTTCCTTAATTATTAAATTATTGAATATTTTCAAGAATTGCATTTGTAGAACGGGCGTGGAAAGTATCACTTAATGAAGTGTTGCAATCCGATACGAATTTCGAACAAAATGAGAGCTTGAAATGAATCGAAGCTATTTTAGTGCTAATTAATCAGTTTTAGTTCAAATGATGCAATACAAGTTTCAAAACATCAATTATTTATTTTATGCAATTTGTCGATGTACATTTTATATTCGGTTCACGTTTTTTAATAAATGAGGAGGGAATATTATTTTACTGATAAGAAATATGAGAGTTAGCTTTCCCAATGGAGGAGTGCTAATTCGAGATTTTTCAAGTTAAAGAATTTCTCCTAATAATAAATAATTCGAAGCAACTTAAAATGGATCATATTTTAACTTTATATTCAATTCATAAATTCCACTACTACGACAATGTGTAAGTTAAGTATCAATTTTGGGCATTGTGGGGGTGCTTATCTTTCCCCACGCGTAACCGATTCTCGGACCCATTACATCGATCTTTTGGTAATGCATACCAAGTTTTGTCTTAAAAAATGATTTTTACTTAAAAATATTTTAAAAGACATTTCAGGTATTCGACCTACCTAACCCAAAGGTCGATGATGACTCCTTTCAATTTAATTCAAATCAATTTATAAATCCCTAATTTTTCAAATAATAAAGTCATAATTGTTTTTTAAAATAATATTAATTGTTTTTCAAAAAATGGTTATGATAGCTTGGCGACTCTGCTGGGGGGTTTGTTTTAGAGAGTCATGTTGTAAGTCGTTTACACATTGTCATTGTGGTGTAAATATGTGTTCGAGTCTTTAGATAATTTATGATCCATTTATTGAAGTTTTATAACTTCTTTATTTCTTTAAATTATCATACTAATGTTTTAATTTATGTTTTCAGCTTTGTCAGGTTTTATCAAGTTTTTTCCTTGTTTCGTTTTCCTTTGAGTTAAAGGTTCGTACGTTCCTCCTCACATATATCACGTGCATTTGCATGACATAATCTCTAGATCCAAGCTTCGATCCAAATATTGGGGTGAATTTTTACTCTCATAAGAATTTATTCTTCGTATGAGTTTTAGCAAATAACCCATGAGATATATACCTTATATCTTCGTAGGATTTATTTCTCGTAGGGTATAAGGCAATGAATCCCTCGAATTGAACTTGTTCCATTCGAAACTTGTAATGGGTGGGGATCGAGGGTTTAGCAACCCAAGGGGACACCTACATCAAGGATAATTCGAGTAACCTTTCTCATAGAGTCGAAACCCTGCATATAGTAAACCATAGAACGAACATATTAGGTATAGTCATACAGAACCTATGTCCGCCAGTAGGTACCCAAAATAAGTGTACACAAAGGAGGAGCATTTCTGAACCTTTCCTTTTTGCTTTAAATTCTATTAAATAACAGCATGCGAACTAGATACCTTGAGGTTAGAATCAGTTTCTTGAAATTAATCATTTTTTGTAGAAAACATGTCCGGGTAGGAATGTTATTTAATAAAAGCATGTTCGGGTAGATATCATGACGGGGCAGGTGTTATATTTATCTCTAAATAACATTTTTATCCTTATAAATTATCTTACATGTACTAACTAATTTCTTTTCTTTTGTTTGTGTCATTTTTCATCATTTTTGCATCGCATTTCATTAACATAACATAATCCAAAAGTGTTGATCCGCAAAGGGATATTCGAGAGAAAATTTTCACAAGAAGTGGTAAAAGTTTTCAATCAAGAAGTCACATACACAAACATGCACCGAGGGCTAAAAGAAGTTCATAGTACAAGAATGAGATTTGCTCGAAGATTGTGCAGTATTCGAGAATGAAATGATGATCCATTGATCCGAGAAGTAATCCAGCAGTAGAGCCTTACTTACAATCATTTTATCGCTAGTCGTCAAGGAGCGACGCATTGACTTCAGCACCGCGGGTCATTAACGGAGTTAGGTTACAATGCTTGAGGGGCATCATTTTCAAGGACGAATATTTGAGACGAAGTAGTGATCCATTTCAGACTCAACATATACGGGAAAACATATATGTAAAATGGACTATCTTGTAATGTGAAGGCCTTTATCTCTGGTGAAAATTATTCTATGATATTCACCATTTGGATCAATATTTTTGCATCTGTTTATATCATTGCATTTTGCATGACATTCGTTTAAGCATTTTTTTACATGCATTAATCATATCTTGTGGGGGACTTTGAGGAAGTGTTTCTAACTGTGCACTTTGTTCACACAGTACTGAGAATAGAAGCAAAATTTGAGAAACTGAAGAAAGAACTGGAAGAGAGTTTGTAAAGGATGTAAATAGAGTGGGAAGCTAAAATGGATCAGGAGCAAAAGCCACCGTGGATCGTATCTTGCAAAACCAAAATGACCTAGTGGATCAAATTGTAGCAAAAATGACTGGACTCAACCAAGAAAGAGGCAAAGAGAATACTTCCTCGACCAGAGAAGCCTCCGAATGTGTGATGGCATATGTAAATCCATAATACTCATTTCTCCTACAAGCTTCTAAGCACCAAGTAGGTTTCTCCACTACTAAAGCTCATACAACTGTGTTAGATCCTAAAGATCTCTACTGATCACAACATGTCAGATCAGGATAAGAAGAAAAGAGCCAAGAATGAGATCTCAGAGAATTTGAAAAAGTGGTGCAGAGAGACATTCCAGGAAATGAGAGGAAAACGCTCTCATAATGAAATGGATGCAAGAGAACTAGTATTAGTTCCTGACTTGGTGCTCTCGCCCAAATTCAGGATGCCCGACTTTGAAAAGTATAATAGAACCAGTTACCCTAATGTCCATCTCATGATGTTTATTCGAAGGATGAATGGATACACCAAAAATGATCAGATGTTGATCCACTGCTTCCAAGACAGTTTGACTGGACCCGCTTCTAAGTGGTATCATTAATTGAGTCGTACTCAAATCCACTCTTGGAAGGATTTTGCTTGTGCCTTTCTGGACCAATACAAACACATGACTAATATGGCCCCTGATCAAACAATGCTGCAAAATATGGAGATGAGGAGTGATGAGAGCTTCCGACAATATGCACAGCAATGGAGGGATGTTACATCTCAAGTGCATCCACCAATGATTGAAAAAGAGTTTATCATTCCATTCATCGACACATTAAAATTTCCATATATCAACTACATGGTTGGAGCTGCCACTAAGAGTTTCTCTAACATCATCATATGTGGAGAAATGATCGAAAGAGCTATCAAGAATGGTCAGATAAGAAACACTAGCAGTACTGACATTAAAGAAAGAACTGATATTAACATAGTGGGATTTTACCTAGCTAATCTGGGGACTAAACCTCATAATGTGTTCCGTGAAAAGATTCGCATCAATCAAATGCCAATGACATATGAGGAATTGCTCCTAACTCTAGTTGAGAAGAAACACCATATGCAACTATCATGTTGGGAGCTCAGGGCACACCACTGAGAATTGTGGCATTGAAGCGCAAGGTTCAAGATCTGATGATTCAGGGGCATTGACATTCAATGTGTAATGGGACATTCTGAAGAGTAGGTTGTGGCATCCAACAAGAATTGTGTGCATTCCCATCAAAAGCATGCATCTGTTTGAACTTCTTTTTCTTCCTACCGTTTAAATGTTTACAAGTCACTTGACGTTAGAAAAATTTAAATAAAATGCTTCCTTTTGAGGAAATGAGCAATAAGCAAATTTTAATCTTGAAATTCTTTGAATATACTCAATTAAAAGCTCTTTATAATTGAGGTGTAAATCTTTGACAAATGACAGATTGAACCCTACAAAACAAGGACCTCTTGATCCTACTCTAAATATACACCAGAATACATACCCTTCTCTTGCAGGGACCTAGCTAGTTTTTCTTCTCATGAAGAGTCAATCAAGGGCTTGACATTCAGGTATGTGTTAGGAGTGGACAAAATGGGGCATCTAGCACATAAAATTGCAAAGCAAATTGGTTTCTACTTCTGTTGATGACGTTCAATGATGATCATAATATTCACGTATGGAATGGTCGAGTAGGTGAATCTAGTTAGGTCAGTGCTATGAAATTTAACGCTAACGATGAGATTTTCTAACCTTCAACAACACATGAACTATAACAAGTTCTCCTTTGCAAGCTTAAGAAATGGAATTTGTATACCAGAATATATATATACAATAAAGCTGAGCTATTCTGCTAAAGCAATTGGTTATAGAGGAAAACTCGAAAGCCCTAGCTTTATGAATAGATTAAATTCAAACCATGACATTGATCGGGTACTTGGCAATTCAGTGTTTGCTTTACTGTGATTGTCAAGTCGAAGACTTTGTGATGACATGAATCCTTCAGCTAGTCGAACAAGGAAATTATAATATATATAATAAAGATGAATTCAGCTAGCCAAACAATGACAAATTAAATCAAATTTTCTATCTAAGGAGTTTCGGTGAATATGGACTAAGGGAGTTGAAGAACACCTGTTATAGTTAACTTCACACGAGCACTCAGAAATTTCATTTTTAAACCGATATTTCTGCACTACCTTGGCTAGAGGAGTCTACGAAGCTTGGACAAATGGAAGATTTCAGAGAACTGAAACAAAATGTTCTAAACCGAGAATTGACTATGCTAGTTGCGTCATTTTTTCCACCTCCGATCAAAATGTCAAACCAAGAAAGAGGGGCATGTCATAACCTTCACGAAGGATGAATCATTGAAACAAACCTTAGAATTTAGGTAGCCAACCTCTAAACCAACCTTTCGATCTTGATATTTGTCAAAGATTTGCAACTATGATATATTAAAAGAGTAGTTGATTCTTTGATATCCCAATGAACTCATGTTTTATGATTGTTTCAATTGTGAAATTTAGGAGACAATATTTTAAAATGCATTTGATATTTTTCAAAATTTTGAAAATAAAGAAAGGAATAAAAACATTTTCAAACAAGATATTATCTCTAGAAGCATATCTTGAAATTCAGCAAATATCTTTCCGAAGGTCATGATCGAATAGGGGCAAGGGAAGCCGAATATTGGGGTAAAATTTGATGGGACAAGGAAAACAAATTGTCTCAGGTCGAGGTTTGCAAGAGTACCTGATGAACATGAAGACAAACTGAATCATGGATAGAATGAAGATTGATCACGCAACCATTCCCCTTATAGATTGAGAAAACATGCATCAACACATACATACAAGATCCATGAAATTTGCATTTTTGCATTAAAAATTCATCATCATGTGCATTTAAGACATTTTTCTCCTTTCTTAAGGACAAATCAATAATTCATCAAATCCAACACATAAAATAAACTTCATCCATCAACATCCAAGATAGTCAGTCATCAATGCATCATTTTGATCCTTCAGCAAATCAATGTTCGAAATGACCAGATGTCTCTAACATAAAGAAACAGATTCAACATCCAGAAGTTGTTTCCCTTGAAATACAAACATTTAGATTGTTTCTCTTGAAATAAGTTTTATCTCTCTTGAGACAGTTTCCCTTGAAATATGAACATTGAGATTGTTTCTCTTGAAACAAATTTTGTCTCTCTTAGACAGTTTCCCTTGTAACACAAATTTTTTAGTCTGTTTCCCTTGAAACAAAGTTTTGTCTCTCTTGAGACAGTTTCTCTTGAAACAAATCCCTAAAGATGGATTGTCATCCTCATCATGTAGAAACTATGTCATCCACCGACCAGACCTCCTCATCACGTACCCTTAGATAACCAAATGCCCTCATCACGTAGGAATCGTGTTATCATCCCTAAAGATTGATTGACGTCCTCATCACGTAAGAACCGTGTCATCCACCGACCAGTCCTCCTTATCACATAGGAGCCATGTCACCCCTAGATAACAAGTCATCCTCATCGCGTAGGAACCGTGTTATCATCATCCCTAAAGATGATCAATAGTCCTCATCACGTAAGAACTGTGTCATCCACCGACCAAATATCCTCATCATGTAGGAGTTGTGTCACCCTTAGACGACCAGAACTCTTCATCACGTATGAGCAGTTTCGTCTCCAACACCAAACATATCTAATTCCAAAACCAAAAAGAGAACCGGACAAAAACTCGTCGTTTTTGCCCTATTCTTGTTAACACAAGAATGTGCAAAGAGTGGCAGCTGTATTATTATTATTGTTGTTGTTGTTGTTATTATTGTTGTTGTTGTTGTTGTTGTTATTGTTGTTGTTTTTGTTGTTGTTGTTGTTGTTGTTGTTATTTACATGTCTTACATTGTTTTTTGTAGGCCCAATACTGAGACCCAAACAACAACACAAATCAGCAGCCCAGTTACAGTTAACCCAAATCCCGGTTTTGGCCCAAGACCCAAACCTACCCAGATCCAACAAGTTACAAGCTGACCTAAATCGACCCAGGACCCGACTCGATTCACCTAGGGTTTCATCATAACCCTAGGTAACTTCTGTCGTCACCGTCTGTTATTGCTGTCAGCACTGACTACCTCTGACGTTGTCATTTTCATCTATAATGACCGAATCAATAAAAAATCCCAATAAAAAATAAATTGAAATCCAAATTAAATCCCAAGGAGAAGTCACATACCATAAGATAAAAGCAGGGGGAAGCATATTAAAAAGAGGGAATGAACACACAAGCAAAAAAGAGAGAAAAATCGAGGGGAATAGAGAGATTCAAACAGAACAATAAAAAAGGGGAAAAAGTAACAAAAAAATAATACCAGCCTATTCGAACCCAAAAAAGGATAGAAAAGAAAAAAAAGAGAAGGAGAGAATCATACCTCGGTTCGAAGATCTTGAAGCCCAACGGTCGTCATTCTTCAAAACATTAGCAAGGTATATTTAGATCTAAGTTCCTAGGGTCAATTTTAGGCTATAATGGACTAAGATTTGGGTTGAGGAAGAAAGGGGAAGCTTTTGAGGTGTTTGGGGACGGCGGTGACCCTTTCTTCCCCGATGAGGGGAAGTTTAGAGAATCTCTCTTTCTCTCTCTTTTCTCTTAGTTTGGAAGGAAGCAAATGAGGCGTTTGGGTGATTTTTGGCCTTGTGTTGGCCTTATATATCACGCATAGAATGACATCATTCTGGTAAGGGATTCGACTATTTTTGGGTTTGGCGTTAATTGCTATTATGGTCCTTATTGTTTTGAAATATCACCCATGTGTCTGTTTTGTTGAGGGCTAATTGCAGTATATGTCCTTGCTCATGTGTAATAACTTATTTTGGCCATTTATACACAACACGAAACGGTGCCGTTTTAAGCCCCCAGACCCGTGTTTTCTAGCTTTTAAGGGATAATAGCACCCTAGGTCCCTTACTATTGTAATCTGTCTATTTCGGTCATGAAATGAAATGGGTTATTATCATGTTCGATCCTTTTATTTTGTATACGTTTTTTTATCCACTGTATTGTCATAATATTATTTGTTTTGGTTTATTTACATGTTCGGTCCTCACTCGAGATTATTGCTTCCGATTTGGCCATATTATTTTATTCGTGTTATTTTGGTCATTGCAAACTATGTATTTTTTATTATTTCGATTTTTAGCATAAATTTTGGATATTTGTATTTTCGTCCTAAATATATGGGTTTTTTACATTTTCACTGTTTGTAATGTGTTGTTTACATTATGTGTTGTATTATTTATTTTATTTATTTTTTAGGCATTAACTTTTTGGTCTTATTATTTAATCCCTTTTGCTTGTTATCTTATTTTCAGTATTTGTAATATGTTGTTTTTTACTGTAAATATTTTATTTCGCATGATTCCAATTGCATTTTGTTCATGTTGTATTTCCTTAATTATTAATATTATTCGAATATTTTCAAGAATTGCATTTGTAGAACGGGCGTGGAAAGTATCTCTTACTTGAAGTGTTGCAATCTGATACGACGTTCGAACAAAATGAAAGCTTAAATGAATCGAATCTATTTAGTGCTAATTAATCAGTTTTAATTCAAATGATGCAATGCACGTTTCAAAACATCAATTTATTTATTTTATGCAATTTGTCGATGTACGTTTTATATTTGTTTCGTGTTTTTTAATAAATAAGGAGAGATATTTTACTTATAAGAAATAGGTGAGTTAGCTTTACTGATAGAGGATTGGTAATTTCGAGATTTCTTTTCAAGTTAAAGAATTTCCCCTAATAATAAATAATTAGAAGCAACTTAATAAATGGATCATATTTAAACTTTATATTTGATTCATAAATTCTACTACTACGACAATGTGTAAGCGGCTAAGTACCAATTTGGGCGCTGTGGGGTGTTTACTTTCCATGCGTAACCGACTCCTGGACCCATTACATCGATCTTTTTGGTAAACGCATACCAAGTTTTATCTTAAAAAACGATTTTTACTTAAAATTATTTTAAAAGACGTTTTTAGGTATTCGACCTACCTAACCCAAAGATCGATAATGACTCCTTTCAATTTAATACAAATCAATTCATAAATCCTCAATTTTTCAAATAATAAAGCCATAATTGTTTTTTTAAATAATAGAATATGGTTTTAGAAAAATGGTTATGACACAGTGAATCACCATGGAACCATCAAGGACTCAAAAAAAGACCCCACGTTGCCTCTGAAGAAGAGAGGTTTATGTGAACAATGTTCTTTTTGCAATTTTTTTTCTTTGTACATAAAAATTTAATGCAAAACCCAATTTGAACTTTTCCTCTTTCTGGTTATGTTTTTGTTCAGTTTGGGTTAGTTTCCTTATATAATATTCCTCTGAAAATTTAAAAGTTTAATCTTGTTTTGTTTTCTGGTTGTTTATTGTGTATTTTCTGATATGGATACACTGTATACTAAAGTATTGACAGTTTTGCTTGAATAATGGAATGAGAAAAAAATGCTCATAGAAATTATTTTCTGAATTAATGTTTTTCATACAATTGGTGAGTGATATAATACAATGACTTCGGGAAGTCATCTGGACTACACGGTGATTGCTGTACAAAATTATGTTTCTCCGTATGACCAGTGCATTACCAGTATGAGACACTTTCCCACTGACTACTATAGCCTGTTATTTAAGCAATTTTTCCCTAAAGTATTGATCTTTTGTGTGTCTTGGATGATACCATTGGTTGATTGATCTATATTATAAATTTCGATTGATTGTATTCTTGTCATTCTATGTTTTATATTGCAGAAAGATATTAAAATAATTTATACATGCACTTGTGGAACATGAAATTCTATATGTCCCTGCTGGTAAAGGTAAATACCAAAGATATTTGTTCGCTTATTTCGAGTTATCTTTGTTTGCAGATACCCATATACTTGAAACTCATGAAGACAGAGGCCTTGAAAGTTAAATCTAATGAAACCGTGAAGAATTTGAAGGTATTATTACACGAAAAGGGAATGGTTTCCAGTAATATTCAGGGTGTTTTCTTTTCTGGTAATCTGCTCAAGGATGATGAGAGGCTAGTTGATATGGTATTCAAAGGAATTCCACTCTCCATTTAGTTCTCCGGAATTTTGATGGAGTAAAGTTACTTGTCAAAATACCATCACAGAAAAGGACCCTTGTGGTGGAAGCAAGGGCTCATGATACCGTCCGAAGTATCAAGTCGTTGATCGTGGCGAAAGAGGGGATTGAATTTGATCGATTCTCGCTTGTCTATGATGGAAAACTACTTGAAGAGGATCGGACTCTGACCTCTCTCATGTAAAGGATGAGTCAATCATTCATGTTGTTTTCTGCCAAAAGGACGTGGTATCGATTTATGTCAAAGCACTAACCGGAGAAGTTGCGAAACTCAAGGTTAAAGTTACGTTTTCCGTAGCCGATGTCAAAGCAATTGCTGAGAGTATCTTGGGTGCCTCTGCAGGCAGTTTGTCCTATTTAGGACAGCAGCTTGAGGACTCAAAGATATTGGCTTGTTATGACATCAAGGAGGTATCTATGCTAGAGATATTGCTCCCGTTATTTCAAATATTTGTTAAATCCTTGAGTGGGAGAAGAACTCTTGACGTACGGTCGAGTACAACTGTTGATGATGTGGAGGACAATATTTATAAGAAGTTGAAGCTTCCGGTCGATCCACATTTTAACATTTTATTTTCTGGAAAACGGCTCATAGGAGGACGTAGTCTGGCTAGTTACGGCATCCAGAAAGACTTCACTTTATATGCTTTGGCCCCGCTGCTGATGACCGTCAAGCATATGAAAGTGAGAGACACCGGTTGCCATATATCTCACTCTACCACCGTTCATGCTGTTAAGGAAACAATTTTCCGGTGAAGGAAGTACTATTTCGAGAAATGGCATTGCATGATGACTTCTCTTTGGAACATTATGGGATTCACAAGAACACCACATTGACTGTGGTGTTTTGAAATCATTGGATTCTATTGTTTCTTCTTTTACTTTTTCGGATTGGTATTAGATTGAGAATGCCATCGGCTTTTCTTCGGTAAGCTCTTATGATTCGAAGTTCGAACTTTTCTTAGTACATTTCAAGAATTCACTGATGCATTCCAATTTCTAAGTGTCTCTTGGCTTGTTAAAACTATTCAAGCTAAAGTTGGAGAGAATATTAGACATAGAAGAAAACTTCCCATTTTGGTCCAATGTGAATTTATTTTTATCAGGATTTTTGTTGTGTTTTTTTTCTTTTTCAAAGTTGATGATTGCATGTAACGTAGTCGATGTTTAAAACCACTACAAATTACAACCAGTCCTTTTAAGCTTTGATCTGCTCAAGATTTTATATGGCTGGCGACAGAGTTCCCTCTGATCCGCCACATGATCTCTTTGATTTCTTTTTCCGAGATTTTTTGGGATGTCAGTTACTTCTAGAGGGACAGTCGGGTCATTCGGATCAGGTTCGGGTCAGGTTATGTCAGGTCGGGTCATTTAGATTCTAGTTTGTATTCGGTTTAGGTTTGGTTCGAGTTAGATCGGATGTGGTTCGGGTCAATGAAAACTTAGTTCGGGTCGGCTCAAATTTGGATGGGTTGGTTTTCGGGTTAGGTTACTATCGGATCGGTTGAAACAATATCGGATCGATTAGTTTCGGTTCGGGTCAACCGTTAGATTTTAGAGTCAATTCGGGTGAACTTTTAGATTTTTTGGTCAATCTTTAGATTTTCAGGTCAACCGATGTCGCTCTTTGTCGTTATAACTTTCAGTGTTATTATTTATTACTTATAAATCAATACTTTTATGTGAATACATATTGTCACAGTCTAAATTTTGAGTTTGAAATTATTGCATCAGTTATAAAGATAATCTTTTAATTGAGAAAAGAATATATTAAACTATTAAGTTATTACCAAAAGTGGTGGTTAACTAGTAGTATAATATAAAATGAGAATAAAACATGTCATTTTACTGTTTATCAATGCTAAAAGTAGATAATAAAAAAATTAAACAAATTATTTATTCATTTGGACTCAATTATCGGGTTAAAATTGAGCCCAAGTTCGGTTTGGATCGGATATGGATAAATTACATTTAGGTTACTTTCGGTTCAGATTGATTTTGGTTCGGGTTGCTTTCGGTCTAACTAAAATCCGAGTCGGTTTTAGTTCGATGCATGTTATTTAGGGTTTCAGATCAATTTTAGGTCATTTTGTTTGAGTTTATATCGAGTTGGTTTGGATAATTGGATATGGGTCAAATTTTCCAGGTCTAGATACTTCTTGAGGAGATTTTATTCGGGAAGTTCTGTTGTACGGCGACTAAAAAAGGGCTAGAAAACGGCGTGACTGGTTAAACAAGTGACCGGTTAAAATCGAGACCGGTTATGTTATATCATTTAACCGAAAATATTAATTGACTTGGTAATAAAAAAGATAATAACCAGTTATGTTATCGTCCTGTGTAAAATGTGTCAAAAAATATAGACGATAACATAACCGGTTAATTATAAAATGTTACCAAGGATAACATAACCGGTTATTACTGGAAACATTATCAAGCATAACAACATATTAGATAGCTTATATACGTAATAGGTAGCGCTTATATAACGTAATAGTAGCGCTTATATAATAAATAGGTTAATTACTTAATTTTTTATTACAATATAGGTAAACACCTAAAATGTTACCAATGATAACATAAGCAGTTAATTACTGGAAAACATTATCAAGCATAATAACATATTATGTAGCGCTTTTGTAACGTAATAGGTGTGCATTATTAAAGCTGATGGGGCCTTAGAAATCTGAAGATAACAAAATAGGTAATTACTTAATTTGTTATCAGTTATGATAAACTTACCTTAGGAATAAATGTTAACAAAATTTAAAACTGATGGAGCCATTAGGAATCCCACGATAACATAACCGGTTAATCACTTGATTTGTTATCAAGCTTTATCAACATGGTAATTATTTACGCTATTAATCATACCTATTGACTTTAACCATTTTCATGGAAATTAATCTATTACTTTAAAAGTAATAGATTTCGAAATTATAAGTATGGAATATATATATTATAATGTGTGTGGTTAAAGTTGATGGAGCCTTAGAACCTTGTACATTGTTTACTTATATTTCATGAATCGAATGAATTTAACCGTTTTCATTGTCAATTAACCTATTACTTAAAAGTAATAGGTTTCGGAATTATAAGTATGGAATATATATATATATATATATATATATCGATATATTTTGCATGTGTTTGAGCCTCCGTGTATAATTACTTAAAAGTAATAGCCTTCAGGTGGAATTAAAGTATCGAGACCGATATAACAAAGTATTGATACATATATAAAAGTTTATGATATTATCATTATACCGGTATAATTTTATTGTGTACCTTGTAAATTTAACTATTACTTTTACAAGCTCATAAAGGGTTATCAGAATGTTGGATTTACATAGAGATATACAATGCACTTGAAAGATGTAAAGCAAAGGAAATCGTCAATTGGGTGTCAATGCAGTAATTGCTTACTTTTAACCAGTACTTGGATACTCCGATACTTTAACCTTGCCAACAATCTGTAGAATAGAGTCTCCCGCAATCATGGCCGGAATCAGTTCTATAACTGGGATTATTTAGGTTAATCATGTTGATTGCATAGCCAATAAAACCTGGGGGCCCAAATGGTAAGCTAGGAATTGGTAATATAAGCTTCCTTTGAGGGTTTAGGGCTGAATCCCTCCAACGTAAGGAGTGCATGATTGAACATTTACATATAAGTTGTATTCAGTTCTTGAAGAATTGTTCTTTATTGTATATAAAGATAGTTGTAATGGTATACGTTCATGTTTCGGGACCATTAGTTAGATGCATGCAGTACCCTATATCCTCGAGGCAGAGCACAAGAAATATGGCACTTAAAGATTTACCAAGAGTGAGCTTTTGCTCTTCATGAAGACCGAACCTAGAATCAACTTTGCAATTATGCGATCATGCTAAAGAGAACTGCTGAATTATAGGATTTGCACACAACTGTGAGAATTTTAAACCCTAAACCCAACTACTCTACTAAAAATTATGCAATAGATCTCGAGATTTCCCATAAAATGCTTGCAGTTGTGTTCAAATCCTATCATTCAGCAGGTTCTTTCAGTAGTATAGGCATAAATGCAAAGTTGATTATAGGTTTGGTCTTCATGCAGAGCAAAAGCTACCGCTCTTGGTAAATCTTTAAGTGTCAGATTTCTTGTGCTCTGCCTCGAGGATTAGGGTACTGCATGCATCTAATTAATTGGTCCCGAAACGTGAACGGATATCATTACAACTATCCTTATACAATGAAGAACAATTCTTCAAGAACTGAATACAACTATTATACTTAATGTTCAATCATGCACTCCTATTTGGAAGGAATCAGTCCCTAAACCCTCAAGAAAGCTTGCATTACAATTCCTAGCTTACCATTTGGACCCTGCAAGGGGGTTTTATTGGCTATGCAGTCAACATGATTATGAGCTTTCTTTATCCTTTGTCATTTAGTCAGACTAGAAATTTGAAATTTGTAATCAATTAAAAGTTCTTAAATACTTAATCCCAATTACCATTTTAAGAACAATTACACAAATACATTGATACTTACTGGTCTCTGCTTTTCTTAATGTTGATACGTTGGGGCTCCATTTAAGGTCATCATCTTCGCAAACAAAGATTGAACTTTCAACCTATAATAGGTTCATTCGAAAACAACAAACTTTAAAACCTAACACCTATTTTTAAGATTAAAATTCTAAAAAATTAGGGTTTCGACAACATACCTTTCGATCACATTAAGGAAAAAAAGAGTCCAATCTGGAAATCAATCAAACCTTAATTTATGGCAAAATATTGATAAATTTACATGAAGATCTGATAGTAACTATTATGAACGTTGGTATTCATCGGAGTGGAAGAGTTCTCTTCTACCTTTAGGGTTTTTTAATTTGGGGTTTATATCGACGCTTTTAACATATAAATAATGAAGGAAAAAAATACGCCTAATTTAAAAAATATCGATACAAATTTAAAAAGTGTCGATACATTATGTTGACCTATTTTCTAATTAAACTGGTATATTTCTACCGGTTACATTGTAAATTTCCTATTACATTATAATTATTGGTTACGATGTTTTTGGGGTCGATACTTTTAATAAATGTATCGACACTTTATTTGTGCACTTTTTATCGACACAATTTAAAAAGTATGATACATTATGTTGACTTATTTTCTAATTAACCGGTATATTCTATCGGTTACATTGTAAATTTACCTATTACATTAATTATAGGTTTCAATTTTTTGGGGTCGATACTTTTAATAAATGTATCGACACTTTATGCGTGCACCTTTGGCATTCATTATAGGCAAAAAGTATCGACACAATTTAAAAATGTATCGATACATTATGTTGACCTATTTTCTAATTAATCGGTATATTTATACCGGTTACATTGTAAATTTACCTATTACATTATAATTATCGGTTTCGATGTTTTTGGGATCTATACTTTTAATAAATGTCGACACTTTATGTGTGCACCTCGTTTGACATTCATTCTGGACAAAAAGTATCGACACAATTTAAATGTATCGATATGTTGACCTATTTTTCTAATTAAATCGGTATATTTCTATCGGTTACATTGTAAATTTACTATTACATTATAATTATCGGTTTCGATGTTTTTGGGATCTATACAATTTTAAAAATTATCGATACATTATGTTTACCTATTCTCTGATTAAATCGATATATTTTACCTATTACTTTATAATAATTAGTTTCGATATTTTGAGGATCGATACTTACAATAAATGTATCG